GTGCGCCTCCCCATTGTGGCCAATGCCAGCGCCAGGCCCCACGATCAACACGTTCACCTGGCAAAGGGGTGCTGTGCTTTGGGGCTTTGGGCCATGGGTTTGCAAAGCTCATATTCAGCTGCCAAGTCACCTTGCAATGAGGGGAAGATAACCTACCAATGTGTAGGGTTTGTCGCGGCAGCTAAAGCCTCAAACCGCAAGGCCCTAAAGTTTGCGGATCTATAGCTGCTAACATGACTGGTTCTAACCTTCTTCAGAAGCTGCTAATAACTCTACTAACTCAGAAACTAGCAAAGAGCCTTCCAATTACCCGCGCCACTTTCTTGGGGGTCTTTAGTGGGGTTTAGGGTTTAGGGCTTTTTCGGGTTTGGGCTTGTCGAAGATGATATTAGGGCCTGCGCGCCGCAGCAGTAGTGGGCTGTGCCACTGTTCGACATAAATCGTAGGATTACAGGCTCCAGATTGTAGTTGGTGGCTCCTGGGGGGGGCTCATTGTTTACACGCCATGCGAAGCCTGCTAAGGAGCCGAGCACCTGCCCGGGACCCGGGATTTCCAAAAGAAAGCGCAACCAAGAAGTCTGCGATCAAATCACAGGCTCAAACCCGACAAAACAAAGAAATCATGAAATCACATGGGGTTTTATGACAAAAGGGACCCCTAATAGAGACCCCCAAATAGTAGGATCCCTTTACAATAAGGACCCCAATAAGGTACCCCTGATATCGTAAACCCCCACATCGAAAAACAGCAAGTACGACCCCTTGTTGCAGCAGGCCCGTTCCTTCGCGAGGCTCGTCGGCACCACCCTCGCAGACTGAGATAGATTCCTGGCCACATCCGAACCCAAACGCTTGGATTTTTGCTAGTTCAGGGCTCTGAACCCTCATCAAACTGAAAACCTCTCTCAGCTCAAACACGATTTAACAGTCTAGAAAAGCCCTTGGACCCTAAAAACGCTTAAGCCCTTAAGCCCAAATCCCGGCTCGAGTTTAGAAGTTTCGGGGCCTGAGGTCTATGGGGTTTGAGAAGTTCTGGCACAACACAACATGGGCCCCCACTCGCTCGCATTATCGTGGCTTATGGACTGACGTGTACCGAACACGACTGCTGCCATTCCCTCCGTGACGAAAGGGCTTATAGGGTTTCGGGTGTACGTGGAGTGGACCTTCCACATTCTGCTTTTCGATGTCACATGCTGGGCGTGTGGGCCCACCCAATTTCTCCTCGGGCTGTGTTGCGTCGCTTCTCATTCGCAAGGCTTAGCCTGCAACTCTGGCCCACTGGCTCATCTTGTGCGATGCTGGAGACCCTATGCATGCCCTGTAATTCCAGCCAATTTCAGCTATCGTCCGTGGGAGCGAGGGCGTGCTGCCTACTGTATGGTCTCTACTCGCATGGACCACTGCACGACTTATGGTCGTGCCGGCAAGTCTGCTTACGCTTGTCTAAGCCCACAACCCCACCCCACGCTGGCCTCGACGACTTCTTCATCCCCCGCTGGCTCACTGTCCTGAGTGCAAGTGTAAGAAAGGCTTGGAGGCTGGGCCTACGAGTTGCGTTGCAGCAGTTGGGATGTATTGCACATCTTCTAAGCGCATCTGCACAACTCCCTGGTTTGGGGTATCCATGTTGGGATCACTGTGCAACTTCCCTGAACTCTCCCGAAGGCTTTGCGGCCCAAGGGATTTCGGGGCCTTAGCCGCTTGACGAAACCAAGGCGGCTGTGATCCATTCGGCCGCGTGTCAAGGCCCCTGTGCCATCAAAAGGCTCCAGCCCTGGGATGCAGAGTCCAGGGTCAAAAACCCTACACCCTAAACCCTAAAGTCAGGGGGTTACATAAGTGTGTCACTCTCGTTGAAGATGTGAAGGAGCCTCAGGAGCTGATTGAAGGCTTTGGTTCCCTGAGACCTGGGAGGTTTGGGGGCTTGTGCAGGGATTTGGTGGTTCTGGAGCAAGTGCAGACGTCGTTGAGTAAAGGACTCGGGGTTCCATATGCGGTGCTTCGGATGCGTTCAAGGATGTGCAAGGTGAAGACACTAGTTGTCTGGGAGCTCCCGGGATATTTCGTTTGTGAACGCCGGCAGAAGGGACATCGCAGTCACTTAGTAGCCACAGAGAACTTTCAGAATGAACTGTTGTCTGTTGTTGTTCGCTGAAGCAAACAACACACACAGACAAAGGCCGAAACTAACAAACGGAAAGTCGCAGACTTGGAGGCTCAATCTTCCAGCTCACAGACATGATGAACCTTAAACATCCTAAACCATGAACGAAATTTCCGAAACATCTGCTTGCACTACAACCGATGCTCGGTCTTCAGGATGTAGTGGTGGTTCAAGAAAAGTGCAGGAAAGAGGAGAGGAACTAGGGATACTGAGGGTTTCAGGATCTCTGGCATTAGGTCTGGCTCACCGAGATCGGAACGGGCTGAAAGAAAGCCTTAAGGCCCTAAACCCCTCATCCCTAAACCCCTGGCACGAACCATGATCCTCGTGTTCTCACTCCTTCGCCTGCCAGAGCAGACGCCGAATCTCCATGCTCGATGCCATGTCATAAGCAGTACGACGGTCCATGTTGGTCTGTTCAACATCCGCCTTCGACTCCAACAGCAGGCGGACGACGCACGCGAATCCCCTGGCAGATGCCATCTGAAGAGGCGTGATGCCACCCGAGTCGGCATCGTTGACACGGGCTCTGGCTTCCAGCAACACCCTGGCAACTTCCACAAATCCCCTGCTTGATGCAATTAGGACGGGACTGCTTCTATAGAAGTCCGCTTGGCAGGGATCCGCTCTAAACTCCAACAGCAACCTCACGATGTCCGCGTGGCTTCTCCATGCAGCTTCGTAAAGAGGAGAGCACCCATCCTTGTCGGGTATGGCGACATCGGCACGTGCCTGCAGCAGCAAGTGCACAACATCTCTATGACCTCCCCATGATGCCTCGTAGAGAGGGGTGCAGCCACGTTCGGTCGTGGTGTTGAGCTTTGACCCAGCTTGGATTTGCCAACGCGCAGCTGCCACAAGACCTTTCTCAGCTGCGATTTGAAGGAGTGTTCGGCCCAAGCAGCGTTTCTGGCAAGACACGTCGCCATGAGCCTGAGCCTCCAGCAGCAAGTGCACCACTTTCAAATGACCGTTTTCGAAGGCCACTTGCAAAGAAGTGGCGCCCTGCAGGCCTCGCTGGTCCACAGAAGCTTCAGCCTCCAGTAGCAGCCGCACCAGTCCCAAAGAGCCGTTCCCCGAGGCAACCTGAAGAGGTGTGAGGTCATGAACTCCATGAACTCGCCGGTCCAGGTTGGGATCTTGGGGTCTCTGCAACATCTCCTCGACCTGCTTTAAGTTGCCCTGCCGAACGGCCTGTATCAAGCCTTCTGAGTCGATGCTTGTATAGGGCAGAAGAACGAGCTGCACATCACCAGGAGTGCTCAATAAGGAATCATCATTCAACACGATGCCGTCCTGGACAAGCCTTTGCCTGAATCGCGGAACGCCGCACAAGGCGTGCAACTGTTTCTTCAAATCCCGGATGGTTCGGCCTAGCGCGTCTGGTGCGTCCTTCTGCTCGACTGGTACGGAGGCCAGCTCCTCCCCAGAGGTCCTCCACACGCGAATCATCTGACCCGGCGTTTCAACCTGCAAGGCCACCTTCTTGGGCCCAAAACACAGAAACACAAAGGCACCTGAACTTCGACAGCGCCTCCTGCAGTGATGTAGCTGCTGAACTCCAAACCCCAAGGCGTCTGCATGCGACCGTGTGAATGTATGCGTGTGTGTTTTAGACTTCGGCTTTTCGGGTCCTTGTTTGTTATGTAAAGTTCTGTCTACTAGAAAGCACTGACATTCCCCAGCGAAGATCAAACCTTTGTCCTCCCCATGTAATCCCTTGCAGTTTCACTAGGTTCTCCCCCAGAAAGGGTGAATGGTTGTACTTTGTGGGGTGTTTACAGGACACTAACTCTCCAAAACCGGGTCTGACCAAGAAAATGCAGGCGAGATGCCGAAGGGGTTGGACGACTCGCCTCAGCTTCCAGACCCTGAACCCCAAGCCCTCCTGAAACTTCTTGAAAGCAAGCCAGACCTGTTCCAATTGCTACCTGGACTCTACATAATGGCATTATGGTTAGTTTGTTGGTGGTCCCGGAATACACCGGGCATCCACAATCTTTTGCAGAACTGCATCCAAACTTGTGGCCCTCCGGTGCTCAAGAAAACTCTCCAAAGCAACTTACAACTCCCAAACCCAGCAGGCTCACGAATTTGGGGCTTAGGGCTTAGGGGCTTCCAAGCTCCGGGTCTGATGAGCTTCGTGTCCACAAAAACCCGGCGAGCGCTATCCCTCTGAGGCCGAAGCCTTGAACCTCTGGGGGGGTTTCCGAAAATCTGGGTACCCTTTTGGCGGCCTTTAGGGGATTCTATTCGTTTGGGGACAAAAAGGGGTACTCCTATTTTGGAAAATGCCCATGTCAACCCTAAACTCTACGCCCCCCCAAGCTCTGCTCAGCGCGCTCGGGGCCCGGCCGTACGCTCGACGCATGGCCTGGCCATCGGCGTGGGGCGTCCGCTCGTCGAGGACGAGCCCTGGGCCTGCGCCCAATGGCACACGTGGTAGGGTTGACAGGGCTGATATGAGGGGGATTTCCCGAAATAGGGATACGCCCAAAATCTCATCAGACAAAGTTAAGCACACCAAAAAACTTGATAAACCCAACAACCAAACCCCCAAGCCCGACAACCTCAAAGAAAATCGGAAACCTAAACGTTAGCCCAACAACCACCACATTTTCAGGAAGGGAACGGTATAGCACAAACCCCAGCCAACAGATCAGGAACAACCGAGCCACCATCCACTGGACAGCGCGGGAAACCATCGGTAGAGCGGGGAGAGGGGAGTTGTTGAGCTTTCAGTTTTGCAGTGCTAGGACTGCTCCTTCTTAACCCGAACACCCTAAACCCGAAAACCCGAACAGCGTAAGCCCTAAACTTCCGAAAGCCCAAAACTCCCAGTAGCCGTTTAGATGTTCCTGAGACCGGTGCTGTAAAGCAGATGGCGGTTGGTCGCGGTCGGAGACCGCTCGTCCAACATGAATCCTCATCGCACTTATCCTAAACAGGGTTCTGAATGGGTTTAGGTTGTAGGGTTTAGGTTCGGCGTAATAGTGGCTTAGAGGGCTTAGGGTGTAGAGCATTACAGGGCCTCCGCACGACAAAAACGGCTTTAGGCTTGTGGGACTCGAACCAGATCGAAGCATCAGAAGCCCTACACTAAACCACCAAATCTTCGGAGATTTCGGTCATGTGGAGGTACAGTTCAGCTGTACGTGAAGCGTAGTGAAGCATATGATGCAGTTCCCACGACATATTCTTAGGTCCAGCAGGAACACGTAGACGTAGCAGCTTCAATGCTGGAGGGGCCTCTACTAAGTGGAGTCTAGGAAGGAGCCGCTCTCGTCTTGCGAGGTGGCCTGGAATACTCCATTGTATCCTACTTACGCAGTAGAACCTCACAGAGCAAGCAAACCGTTGCCGATTCTTGGTGCAGGCACTACTTACACACTGAGTGTTGGGACACATCCGATGACTGCTACTTGCAGCCTCTGGGACAGACACCCAACCTCTGGGCACTAAGGGCAGGTCGAACTGACATGGACATGGCTTCGGAACAGTAGTGTCTTCTCTTGACGGGTATAATTCTGCAGATGCACCTGGCCTTGCCTCATGTTGAGCATGTAATGGATAGGACAGCTGGGTGAGGCTACGCACTGCTGTGACTCTTAAACCGACTTACCGTCAAGGTCATCACTAAGCGATCACGAAGTTTCCAGTAGTATCACGTGCTTAAGCTTCCGACAGCTGAGTGAACTGTTTCATGTTCGCCGCGTACAGTTGCTGGGGGCTGGAGCCAAACAGAACGCCAAAAGCCGAACAGTCCATGCCCATCGTCAAATTAAAACGTTGTACGTACTTCCGTCACACACGTGTACATACGCATGGCAGAACTCCAACCTGTGTGTGCCAAAACTTGGAGCAGCAAACGTAAACCAGCTGAGCATCAATTCCTCTCCATTTTTCACCGTGATTTGCACCACTACTCCTTGCATGGCCTAAAAGGACCAACATATCATGCACCATGCCGAAGGCGCGAATGATCTTGAGTCGCCCATATAGGGCTGGTAGATACTTTCGGCTAGCAACGCCCAACCACAACAATACGAGTTTCTCATTGTAGTCAACGCAGCTTCGGGCTGTCTTAGTTACGTTGCAATCACCTCCTTGTGCCTCCTACCATGCGCCTTGTGCTGGAGTTGAATGATGAAGGTTTCCGCACATATGGACTCCAACACCGGAAAGGTGAACAAGTCTCAGCGCTCCCGCAGCGGGGCTGTCAAACCCTACTAAGTCCCAGATGCCCACGACACCCTTTTTGAAGACTCGTCCACCGTCCCACAATGCAAAACATGCCTTGACTTTTTGAGGACGCAGGGGCCAAACCCAGCCGTCGTCCTCTATCACAAGGATCGTCTTACTTACAGCACGATGTCTATGCAATTCAGCGAACAAAGAGAACCATGACTGTTCCTTAGTTTCCATTCCATGCCTTCCATTCTGGCTGAGCCCCCGTATAATCGGTCTTGCCCAAACCCGACCCACCCTTGGCCCGCGGCACAGTGAATTGCACACAGCTGCCACAGAGAGCAACGATGCAGAGGCGGTGTGCCACGCCTGGGGTTTACCGACTTACCGGCTGACTCTCTGTCACAATGTGATCGCTCTTTCTCTGATGCGTACCTAGCCTGCTGGGGTGTTTGGGGTTTATAGGGCTTGAGAGTGTCCTGTCACTGCCTTCTTGCAGCCATTGTCGCACCTCACGCCGGCCCTGAAACTTGGACAGCTTTCATAACCCCCGGCTGCAGGAAGCTCAGCTCTGCCAGCGAAGCTTGTGTGGGGCCTAAGACCCTGCCCCCAAACCCTAAACCGGCCCTAAACCCCAAACCCTGTGGGTCCTTTCGAATAATGTCCCATACTCTCTAAATCGAGCACTTTCATAGGTACCCCGAAATGCACCCTAATCTTATCACATAGGACATAGGGCTCAGGTTCATTTTGTCAAAAAACCAAGACCCTAAAGCCTAAAACCCTGACAACTCCGAGGCGGGAGCCAGCGACCCGATACCCTGCGACAAAGGCCTCTGTAGGAGATCCTCAGAACTTTAGCGGGCACATCGGCTTCGGGGGTTTTCGGGTTTCGGGCCCGGTCAAGGGGTTGGGTTCGAGTCTAGTAGGGCTCAGGATGGGTTTAGGGTTCCGGGCCCACCAAGAAACAAAAGGGCGGAGGAGGAGCTACGAACTACGAACTTAGAGCAGCCCTCACAGGCTTGAAGCCTGCCCCTAAGATCCAAAGTCCGAGCCGGGTAAAGCTAAATCGCTTGAAAACGCTAAGCCCTCAACCTTAAAACCCTAAACCCTCAACTCCTAAACTCTACCCCCTAAACCCTAAACTCTACACCCTAAACTCTACACCCCTCCCTTCCCGACAGCAAGACCTCCCCAATAACCCGTGGCCAAGGCACACCCAGTCCGGATCGGAGGTGACGATATGCCTGCAACGTCTGCGGAGGATCTACTATAGGTCCCTTAATAATTAGAATAGGCTTTTGGGGGTTCTTATAGTATATAGTTATGTAGGGACTATAAGGGAATACAATTAGTAATGATTCCAGTGTGTTTTCTTTCAAGATTTATGATGTCTCTCCACGGGCTAAGCCGCGTGGTAAAAACAAATCAGCCTCGTGCTGCTTGCCACGTGAGACCTCATGTACATGTTACAACTTCAGAGCTGTTAAGGTAAAGCCACAACCCCTTAGCCCCATAGCAGCAAGCCCAAGGATTCAGGCGTTTCGGGCAGTTTAGGGCTTTAAGGCTTCGCGATCTGGGGGTCAAGGGTTGTAAGGGTTTTGTGGGCCGGGTGTTTTGGGCCTTGTGGAGTTACTACACGGACACGAGTACTCACAGCGCAATGAGCTCCTCAGATACCAGCACAAGAAATTCCTCACATTCATGCCGATGCCTCCTCCAAGTATCTACAGGCAGAGCCGCCAAGGTTCATGAACAAAACACACGCCCACACAGCCTCAAACCCCCAAACGCCCACACTGTCAGCTCTGCCTGCACCGGATTGCCGAAGAGATCGCAAGATCCCAGGAGAACTGGACTGTTCAACCTCTGACTCTGGCGGTTGCTCTCAATCCCCAAGTTTCTGATTTTACCTTCTGCTTCGTCCCGGGATAGTCTACGGTCTGATAGATCATAAATAAGCCTATAACCAGCATTGGGCTTGGCTGGTTCTTGGCTGTCTGGTGTTGGGCGGGCCTTAGGGAACTGAATGCTTCGCAGTACCAGGACGCGCAAAGCTCAAGACACTTTGAGTTCGGGGGCTCTGGTGGCATCAAAAAGGCAAAATCGTATAGTAATTTGACCAAAGTGCGAAACCCCCCCCCCCCGCCCTGCCCGAGGCGCCGACAAAAGGAAAGCGATGCAGTGTGCAATCAGCTCCTGGTGCACAAGAGGGTTCGGGCCTAAACCTCGAACCCCCAAACCCCAAACTAAAATACCCGCGCAGGGTAGAAGCTGTTTTGGTATCCGGAAGTTCGGGCAACAGCTCCATATTTCGGAAAGCCTAAGCCAGCTGAAGGGCTCAGGGAGGAATGTCTCCAAAGGCCTCGAGATTTTTTCCCCTAGATCTGGGTGTCGGGTTCAGGGTTGGGCGTTTCAGTAACGACTTTGTTGCGAAGGTTCCTTCGAAGCACGTTGGCCCACGGTTGCATGTCGGTGATGTACACGCACGCATGCTTCAACCGCGGTTTGCCTGAGCCTCTGCATCTTTGGCAGGGATTGGGGCAGCTACATGTCTGCCTTCACTTCGGGCTCCTGATTACCGTCACCATCTGTGTGGACCTGCAGTGTGCCTTGGTCTTCCTCGGCCTTCGTGTCCTTTTGAGCGTTGTAGTCGGCCCAGATCTTTGAAAGGATTCCCAGGATCACGCCGACGACGAAGATGGGGAGGAGGATGGCGAACAAGGCTACAGTGACGGTGTTCCAAGACGTTGCCCCGGAAAAGGGGCTCATGGCCATGAGCTGGCGCCCATGAGTGACGAAAAACAGGATGAGCCCTACCTGAGGTTCTTGCGTTGCTTTCCAAAAGAGCCATATATGTCCTTTTCAAAGCAGGAGCTATAGGAAGTTTAAAGCACTAACAGGGGCTGAACCAGGAAAAGGGCGGTGCTCTGTGGAGCTACCAGGGAACCACCATGAAGATGTAGTTGACCATCATCATGGGCCCCCCGATCATGAGCCAGGCCACCAGGGCGGTGCCGGAGTCGTCTTCTCTCACGGGCGCGAGGGCCAGGCTTAGGTTCAGGATGATGCTCCTCAGCTACTAATTGCTTCAGAACCCTTAAGGGTAACATAGGGATTATGGTTTCTTATTCTTTTTGGGGTTCTTAAGCAAACAGTAGTCAGGAGTTCTCTACTGCAGGCCCTCTGCCCTATACCCTAAGCCCCTGACACCCTGAAGCCCTGAATAACCTTAAGCCTCAACAAGACCCTTTACAAAACCACTTCAGCCCCAAACCCCTTAAATCCTCTACTCTTCAACTCTGACCCCCAAACCCCACAACCCCCATGAGAGGGGGGACAATCTGGCGGGCCCTGATCAAAGATTCCCTCGAAGTTTAGAATTGACAGCCATAAAATACGACTCTTAAAAGGAACGATACACTATTCTAGATTTCGGGCTTAGGCCACCGGGACACACACACACAGACACAGCAAACAGAGAGAGAGAGAGAGGGAGGGACAGAGAGAGACAGAGAGAGAGAGAGAGAGAGCGGCGAACGGACAGTCGGACAGATGCGCGTATGCGTACATGTATACGATTCATCCACACCTTCCTGCGTCCACATATGTGTGTACGTGTACGCCTGTAGATATGAAGACAAACGGGTATGCGTGTTTGGATGCATGCAAATTTCCCGGTGGATGTATGTTCGCTTTGCATTAGTATACATACACGTCTACAATCATCTCCATCTACAACATGCATACGATAGGTTCTCATGTGCTTGCTTCTCATTTGCATACTGAGTCTTAACGTGAAGCCTTCGAGCCCTAAGTCCTAAACCCTAAGTCCGAAACCCTAAACCCTAAACCCTAAACCCACAAAGAGGCTCCAAAGCAGCGCCGCGAAGATCAGGGCCCCTGCGACGGCGCCGATGCGTTCATTGACCTGGGGGGGGGGGGGGGGCCCTTAAACATTGGATTCGAGGGTTTTTTTGCTTTTTGCAACCCTGTGCACCTTTTCTAGTGCAGGCCACTTGTCAGAGGGTTTAGGGTTTAGGTTTTGTTTTTTTTTGGGGGGGGGGGGGTTCTGAAACTTTGATTCGGGGGTTTCGGGTTTAGGGGAGCCCTGGCAAGCTTCTCGTATACTTGGGGAACAAGGGGGGGTTCCCTGCTATTGAGACATGCCCGCCTCCGACCACCGGTAGAAGTCCCCACTCTGCAAGACAAAGGCGTGCATGTACTTCTTGGGAAAGTCCTTGGTAGACCAGTAACCATAGCAATTCTTTCATCATTCTATTGTTTCCGTTTCACATTCTTCATCTTGAGTTCTGCTGTTGCTGCTATTCCTCGTATTCGTCTCATAAACCTATGGGGGAATAATCACAATCATACACAGACAATGTTGATGTACAACACAAGAGGAGTCCCCTAATTTTGGGGCTGGTTACCTTCACAATGGAAATCAGAAAGGCAAAAACCCATCACTCAGCAAGAGTCCTCAAAGGTGAAAGCCACGGCGGTCTGGACGTCCTTGTCGCCAATGCAGGCGATGTGATCGTTCCCTGATGCGGCCTCGCCCCATTTCGACTGCATCCCCGAAACTAGGAACTGCTCAATGTCCATGTACTGCCCGGGTCTGACTAACTTTGTGAAGTTGAAGAACTCTTCGCTGTGGGTGCCGATGTCCTCGATTTTGAAGACGTCGCGCACGAACAGGCGGAACTCCTGACTTTTGCACATCAAGCTCCTGTAGTCGGCGTAGTTCATCTCATCCGTCCCAGGTGCGACCATGTACTGCAGGCCCAGGACGAAGGACAGCACCAGGGCACTGACAACACCACCGAGGGTATTGATATTGTCGATCTCATCGGGGCTGTGCCCTCCCAGTATGGACCCCTTGGCAGCTGCTTCGACCAGCTTGTGTGGCCGGCGCTTGGTGGACCTTCCGAAGACCATGACGGGCGGAGCTTCTACGGGCAGCGACACAAAGGCACTACAATAGCCCTCAATAGCCTGCATGAGCCACGGTTCAGGAATCAAAGAACCAGGACATGTGAGTAGGTGAGTGAAGGTGCTTCCCGGATCTTGGACCACGAACCTTCAATTCCTTCTGGGCTGAGCCCACGCTTCGAGGGTGCCGTGCTGGATGTTGCATCCCTTGCAGCCCTGTCAAAATTCCCAGTTTTCCTGGCACACCCACAACTCTCTGAACCCGAAGCCCTACAGTCACCCTCAGCCATGTGAGAGCATGAACCCCCAAACCCCAAGCCCTCAACTTTGAACCCTGTCTCAACGATGTCCCAAAAGCCCGGCCTGGCCCAGCACGAAGCTGGTTGTGGCGACGCGTGTGAGACGGATCTCGGGGAAAGTCAGCGACAGCTCTGTGAAGGACACGAAGACCGGCCTTCACGGAAGCCGAGTGTTGCCACCCACTCCCCTCAAACAGCCCCGATTCCTGTATGTAGTTATCATTGTATCTATCTCTCAATAGCTCTCATGTTTTTTGTTTGGGCGGTGTGGACATGCTGACTTTTTGCAGAGCCCTGCAAGCAATTCAGATTGACATCTACCGGAGCTCCAAAACCCTGAACATCCCTGCGCTCCAAGCCCTGACCATGCCTGAGCCCTAAACCCTAAACCCTAAACCCTAAACCCTAAACCCTAAACGCTGCTCTGTGGTTCCGCTGCCATCATTCAAAGTCGATCCCTGGCTCTCCGGATCAGCAGCAGGAAGCGCAGCCTGTCGCCTATCAGCATCTAGAGTCTATAGAGTCTAGAGGCGCAGCCGCAAGGTGAGCAGAACCATTTGTTGAACTGACCTTGTGAAACACATGCTCATACCAAAGGACAGCATGCAACCAACAATGCTGCGATTACTACTATATAGCCTCTTCGCCCATGCTTAGGTCTTCGCGAAATAGGAAACACGCCATTCACCCCAGCATACCCTGTCCCCCGAGTCCCGTCCGGTGACGAAGCAACCGTCCGCGACCACGGCAAATCACCTAGACCTGTCCCATCGAAGCCCGAAGCCCAATACAAGTCCCCCCCGCCCCTCCCTGCCCCACTACTTGCCCAAACCCCAGAACTCACAACCCTACATAGGCCTCCCCCAAACCCGGACCCTATAAGCCCTAGCCCCATACCACGGCTGTGGCCCGCGCGAGGACAGGCGAAGGTCCGCGCAGATTGGCCTCACTGATGACCGACTGCAAGGGTTTGGAACGCGAGGCTGACAGGAAAACCCAGGCATTTGCAGCGTCCTCAAGCGCTGAGCGAGGGGCACCGCAGGAAGGTACAGCTCGCCCAGAGAGATGTAGTGAAATTCCTGGTCCTGCGTTTTTGCTTCGGGACCTCACGTTTACCGTAACCTACTTTGCCGTAGGGCCCCTCATTACTGGAGCTTACTGCTGTAATTAACATCTATGTCCCTGCAAAGACAAAAACATGTTCTGCAATGTTCAAGAGGCTGAGAAAAACACTGGCTCAAATCTTGACCATGAGGTAAGAATGCGACCATCTGCGGAACCCTTGCTCACAACACCCAAAACAGACAGCCCGGCTCCCCCCCTTTCCACTCACGCAAGCCCACCAATATGACATGTTAAAAGAAACCGAGACCTCCGAACCCTAAAACCTGGAAGTTCGGGAGGCCCCTACCTCGCTCGGGGGAGCAGGCGGAGGATCCTCACTGCCTGGCGCAAGGGGTACGAAGGGCTCTAGGTGTCTAGGTGAGACCCGAAAGTAGACAAGGGCTAGTGGGTTCAATCAGGGCTTGGGGCATCGGGGCTTTCGAGTGCTGTGATAATGGATTATAACTTATGGCCCAGGACACCTTCAGCTATCCCAAACGCCTGCAATCGGAGTAGGCCCATAACCCAGCCAAAACAAACATCGAATTCCACCCCGAAAGCGCCTACAACAACTCAATGCTTGAGCCCGAGCGGCCTGTGTCGCCGGTTCCAGCCGTAAACTCTGCACCGAATTCTGCTGCCAAGGCCTGCGGAAGACAGAGGGCTCGAGCTTCGGTTCGCAAACGGCGCTTCCAGGTGCACGGAGTTTGGAGTTAAGGGTTTGCAGTTTATTCGGGTTTAGGGTTCAACTTTGTTTCATATCATGTCGGCAACACTTGCTTGCTTGCTGCACCTCCTGCAGTTTGCAGTACCTTGAGACATTGAAGCCGTCGGACATATGCACTCCAACATGCTCCAACAGACAATCCTGTACCTGCGACTCACGAGCATCAAGCATTTCACAACCCTGAAACCCCAAATCCGAATACCACTGAGGCACTGCACTAGCCTTATGATCTTCCCTTCTTGGGTCTGCGTGAACCCATCCCTGGAACTCGGAAGGGGTACAAAGAACTGCTTTCCTTGGAAGATTTGGAGAGGCCGCCGGGCACCGCCTCTCCTGAAAAACCTGGCGCCCGACGGCCGAAAGAAGCGCGCCTGCACCAACTCCAGCAGTCGGTCATCAAGGTGCACCTGGGTTCTGGGTTCTTGGTAGCCCCCTACCCCTCACCTGCCCCCATACCCCCTACCTACCCCTCACCTCCTAGCCCCCCGAACCAATCACAATGAGGGTGCCCTTTGCGGGCCTGCTTACCTTACAAGGTGGACATGGTAGCGCTCAGCTGACAAGGGGGCTTCACGGCAAGGCCCAAGCTGCATCCTGAAGCATTTTAGGGCCCGATGGCAAGAGACCGCCTTCTTCCGTGGGTGATGATGATGATGACGATGATGACGATGACGATGACGATGGTGATGACGAAGAACGACAAGCACTGTAACGAACGCTGTCCCCTAGTTGTTTTCGTTACTTTTGCGGGACGAAACAACGTTTATAGGTACATAAGGCCTGCCAAAGACCACTCTTTGGGGGGGGGGGGGCTTGTTTTCAGGGGAGTGAAGCTGACATGACTTACCTAGGAAGGCAGACAGATCCACCCGCGAGGTTTCCGAAAAAAAAGACGGATCCCAAACAGAGATGTTGTTGCATTGTACTGGTGGTTCCCAAGCTCGTTTGTGACTCCGTGTACAGCTTTTGGGCACGTTCGCATGGCAAAAGGCTTGCCAGTGGTTTTAAGGACGTTCTTATCCCCCCCTCCCCCCTCCAATGCGTATACCCTAAACGCTAAACCCTAAACCCTAAACCCTCTTATCACTTCCCCAAGCCTCCCAACATTCAAAAGCGATGCACCGACCCTGGGCATGAGCGCAAGTTCGGGCTTGAAGACCGCTTCTTCTTACTGGGAATAAAGCAGGTGGCTTTTGTTGCTGAAGGGGGTTTAGAAGGAATCTTCTCCCTAGAAACCAGGTAGAAGGGTACTGGGCATCCTCGCAGTGTCAGAACTTCACAAAAGGTTCAGGGGTCAGGGCCCATGGGGCCCTCTGATGGGAGTGGGGTTGCGCCATGAGAGCCTCCAAAGGCCCTGAGCCTCCAGAACCTTCACTACAGTGCCCCTTCCGCTGCGCTGCAGCTGCGGCGCACGCACGTGCGGCTCGTCAAGCAGCTCCTCATCCACAGCTCGGGTTCAGATTTTCGTGTTTGGGAGCGGGGAGGGATGAAACACATGGAATAAGGATCAACAGGCTTGTGCCATGGGGGCGCAGGGTAGGGCTGAAGTTTAAGGGTTGGGTTGAGGGTTCAAAGGCTGCTCGTAATACATCCCAGTGCCTGAGCCGACGGGTCCACGCCGACCTGCTGAAAGGGCCATAACATGACAAACAAAAACGAAGATAAACAAGATGCGATATGAGGAGCAGTAGTACTCGCAATTAGTAGTATGATGAAGAAGAATACATCCATACGAAGGCGGGGGGGAAATTATTCAAGGGCACAAAGGCGGACTTTGGGGCAAGGGTATCGTTTTTGGTGGTATCGCTTCGCTAGGCAGCTGCGCTGTCCCTTGAAAAAGTGGCTGTCGCTCCACAAAGCGCAGGCATGTTCCCTTATCTTACCGAGCTGCTGGTTGAGGGTTTTTATGGTTTCGGGATGACTTCAAGCGATGCCTCTAAGCGTTTCAGGAGGTTCGGGCTTGCAGGGGTTCAGGGGGCTCAGGGAAAATCATCGGAGTGCTTCTCTGCACGGATGCTGACCTGGCGCTAGGCGATGCATTTTTGCCCGGAAGTGGCCCTTTAACCCCAAGCTCCAAATTTGTTGATCTGAGAGGACGGCCTGACAGATGCCCGACTTGGCACTTCCCCGAAAAGTTGAGGGTTTAGGGCTTAGGATTCCGGAGCCCGAACCTCCTGAACCGCCCTAGAAGATGTGAACTTGTCACCCCCAAAGCGCGAAAGCTTTGGGGTATAGGGCTTGGGGGTTTACACCTGTTGCTGCGCACTTCAACTAGATCAGATACACATGGGCGTGCTGCACTTAGTGTCGGCACGCGTACAGATGCATCACATGTAACATGGAGCAACCTATTGTTTAACCCCAATATACAACTTAACTTGAGCATTAAGAGTGGTTGGACTTCAAAGCCTCGTGTAGACCGGGAGAGTGACCGTTTGGGGCCCAGGCCGCGTCTCCGACCGCGGCTCGGAGGGACTCCCAGCCAGGGGGCTCCCGGGGCCTTGGTGCCATTGAGGTTTAGGAGTTTAGGAGTTTAGGAGTTTAGGAGTTAGGAGTTTAGGAGTTTAGGAGATTCGGAGATTCGGAGATTCGGAGGCTCAGGTTGAGTGGGGTGCACCGGAAAATCATTCATTTTGAGGGTCTTAGGACTTCAGGGCGAAAACCTGAAGGACTTTGAGGTTTCAAGGCTTTGGGCTGTAGCAGTGCTTCGGGCCGTTCAGGGCTCGAGGTTTGAATCTTAGGGTTAGCGCCCTCTACCCTAACCTCCAATCCTCAGTCTTCATGATCACATATCGGAAGGAGGGAGAATAATAGCCTCCCCTTACCAAACCTCCCCAAGCACTTTTGCATATCCTTCTGATATTTACAAGGTTCCTGTGTTGTACTTGGGTACCCTGAACCCTCGTGACCTGTTTTGAGTGCAGTTTGGGTCTCAAATC